TTACTAATTTCAAAAAAAATTTATTATACTTTGGGTACTTATGCAACCACTATGACTGCTATTGAACCCTTTGTTTATAGTCTCTTGAACCCTTTGGTTGACTATCACTTCAAAAATAGCTTATGTCTTTTACTTGAAAAGCAAACTAAAAGATTTTTTGATAATACAATTTGTTAAAAAAAAAATGTGAAAAAATGAAGCAATGTGAATATTGATTTTGTTTTGTTTTATGTCAATGATGAGAAGAGGAAAGATGAGCAGTGGTGAATGTTATAAGAGGGAGGCATATTTTTAGCTATATGTTAAACTTCTTGTGTTGTTTTGTTGGGGTTCGGAGATTGCTATGGTCTTTGAATTGTCATTATTTGCTTCTCACAATCCTTCTTAATTTTTTGGTAAAGTGGATTTATGTATTATGTTTTCAAAATGTGTCCTATTTTAAAGTCTCACTATGTTTGGCACCTAAAAGTTAAGGTGGAATCGGTTAAATCAATGGAAAGATTAATTTGGTTTTCTCATAAAGAATTTAAAGTATTCAAAAGGGCACCATAAAACTCAGAATGTTTTTTTTTCTATGGTATTGGTTTCTTTTGATTGTGCAACAAGTTTGTATTTGAAACTTATTATAATATCTATATTATTTGAATCAATGAAATTTTTTATCGTTTGAATTTTTGTTTGAGTCATACAACGACTTTGTGTGCAAAGGTATTTGCTTATGATTTTTTTGTTGTATATAGTGTCTTTAGACATGGACAATTGTTAGTATACTTATATTAAAAGATATATATGTAAATAGCATATATTTCAACACACATAATTAACTTTCTCCCTAATTTGGAAGAATTGATTTTGGTGAATTGGAAAGAAAACTAATTCATCAACTTTTCTATATTTTCTATTTTTCTTCCTTATCAAACATGATGTTTTATCTATTTCTCCAATTTTGCATCCTTCCATTTTTTCATTATATCAAACATAGCATTAAGGGTGGTTTAGTGGTTGAGTCTAATATATGGTTACCCAAAAGTTTTAGATTCAATACATTCTCACACCCCTAAGGGATGGGCACCCTAATTCCTTTAAGGACATCCTCTAACCCAACTCAACTCATGATGATCATCCATCGAGTTCGAGGAAAAAGTCAGGACAAGTCTGAACACCATGTACTAAATAAAAAAAAATCATTACCGTGTTCTAGAAGGCTAGCACACAATCTTCAAAAGAATATAATTTTTATAAATGCTTATCGCACTTTTTACCTTGAAAGATTTTAAGATTCTTACTATGTACCATTAAAAAATAAATTTTTTACATTACATATTCAATGTGTTAATAGTGTTGCAATATGGTCTTTCAGTTAACTTCTGTAATTTTTTTCGCAACAAACCAACTCATTGACACTAAAGCAAAAAGTAGCAGAAAAGTCATATTGCAACTCTTTTGATATATTGAAGGTATAATATAAAAAAATTAATCTTTCAGAGTATAAAACAAAAATTTAAAATCTTTTAAAATATAAAATGCAATTCACTCTTTAATTACATTTCACCGTTAATGATTCATGAATCGCCAACAATTTTTTCCTGCTTCCTCGGCAACTTCTTAGCCGTCTTTCATTCACTGTTAATGATTCACGAATCGCAAACAATTTTTTCCTGCTTCCTCGGCAACTTCTTAGTTGTCCTTACGTCTAGTCGGAATTTTTGACGTCTCCCCCACAGCGTTTCATTCACCGTTAATGATTCACGAATCGCCAACAATTTTTTCCTGCTTCCTCGGCAACTTCTTAGCCCTCCTTACGTCTGGTCGGAATTTTTGACGTCTCCCCCACAGCGTTTCATTCACCGTTAATGATTCACGAATCGCCAACAATTTTTTCCTGCTTCCTCGGCAACTTCTTAGCCGTCCATACGGCTGGTCGGAATTTTTGACTTCTCCCCCCGGCGTTTCAAAGAATTTGAACATTTGACAAAATAAAGAACAAACAAATGTAAAAGTATTGACAATAAACTCGTGCTCGAATGCCTCTGTAATATAAAAAATTTAACATTGATCTTGTAATATTTATATTTAAAATAATAATAATAATAATTTATTTATTTAATTTAAAAATAAAGTGGAGAGAGAAATAGTAAATAAGATGTAAAGGGAGGAAAGAGAGAAGTAGATGTAAATTGATGAGATTTATTGTTAGTAGAGAGTGTGATTTTTGAATTAAGGTTTTTGAGCGAAAAAAAATTAGAATAAATTTTGTATCATTGAATCAAAATAAATAACAATTAGATCCATTTTGACCATTGTACTTCTATAAGTTGAGAATTCAATTTTTTGGCTATAATATATTAAATAGATTAACAGATAACTTGAGACGTTGAAATATAAATATATTTTTTAACAATTTAAGTTTTTATAGCAAATTGTAGTTTAACACAACATCTTAGTAGAAAACCCTGTTTTCAAATTTCATTTTCACCATAATTATTAAAAATTATTCATGTGAGAGATCCTCTTAATTACAAGATTTCACCATTTTTCCATTTTCATCCTCTCACTAGTAGGAGTGTTCAAATTTTTGATTAGCCGTAATTTTCTACCCTACCCGAGCCGACCCTATTGAAAGGCAATATAAACTAAAAATCCTAATTCCTTAACCATATGATTTAAATTTAAAATAATTGTTATTGTATTTGTGCAACAATTATTATGGATTGATTTTTCTGTTTTCTTATATTTTATTGTAATTGTTGTTGTCATTGTTTTAGATTTTAGTGTTATTGGTTTATTGTATTGTTAATTTGGTGCTTGCTATTTAATTGAATTGTTAAAGATGATCCAAAAAGTAATAACTATAAAAGTGTTTACCCAATTTTCTACCTGATTAATTTGGCCGAAAATCGGGTAGGAACACCACACTTGATTGGGTAGGGTAGGTCAAGAAAAAATTCTTCTGCAAAGTATCAGGTGAGAAGACAAAAGACCATATTTGTTACCAGTAGAGTAGGATGAACACTCCTACTCACTAGATCTCACACCCACAAGGAAAAAAGGAAAAAAAAAAAAGGAATTTTTGGAGGCCGGTCTACAGTTATAATGTTTTAGGTCAATTAGTTCATGCACAAATTTTATTGGTCATTAACGACAATAAGGATCATAAAATAAATGCATATCCTAAAAAATTTGATTCATTTCCTAAACAATCTCACGCAAATCTCTCTCTCAAAAAACTCATCCAAATTCTAAAACATCTCCCCGTAAATCTCTCTCTCACTAATATATGTTCTCTCTCTATCTTCACATAAATTTCTCTCTCAAGCATATCTTTCTATATGTATGTATATATATACACACATATTTATGTACAAATAGTTGTTATATCGTAACAAAAATTGTTATACACAGTAGTTGTATAACTGTGCTTGTCGTTATGCCATTGTAAATATTACGTATACAATAATTGTGTCGTTGTATCAATGTTATTGTGTTTTCATGACTATCAATGTGTCACTATGCCTGTTACTTAAGATTTGCTATTTAAAAGGTTGAAAAATTGTGAACGTAACAATCATTGAGAAAATGTGTTATCGTGACAATAATAACAAACGTCACTATGAAAATATGTTCTATTGTGACAGTAAAAACCACTGTCACTTTGAAAATGTGTGTTAGTGTGACAATAATTTCTAATGTCACTGTGAAAATATGTTGTATTGTGAAAGTAAGTCAGTAACGGCCATTGTCGTTGTGCCAATGTGTGTTACTTAAAGTAGCACAAATATAATGGGGAAGGGGAAGGGGAAGGGGAAGGTTCCAAAATATTTGTGCATGAATCCACTTATCCAATTTCCCACGCCTTCCTGTGCTTCTCACTGTCAAACTCCTGTAAATGTGCAGACTGGACAAGCGGAGATAATTGATTTACTTTTGACTACTTTATATATTACTTTTGATTTACTACCAAACCCGCACCGACTTATGTGTAATGCTATTTAAATTTAAAATTTTAATTTAATTTATAATTTTTAGATGAATAATAAATTTTAATATTTAACGAGACTCGTAGTCAATAGTTAAGTTAATAAATTAAGTATATATATCATTGCTTCCGATTTGTTTAAGAGTAATTATTTAAATCTAATTTTTTGACTTAATGATATGATTTCTTTGAAATCATTGAATTAATATTAAATTTCAATATTTAATAAGACATACAGTCAATTCAATAGTTGTAGTGAATTACGTTAACAAGTTAGTTCAATAAATTATGTCTCAATAGCATTACTATTTATTTAAGGGCGAGACTATTTCAATCCCTTAAATATCTGTTCTCACCCTATTTAATTTTTTTATTTCAAACTACTAAATATATCTTTTGAGAAGTCGAAACAAAACAGTAATTGAAATAAAATTTCAATTAAAAAAGTTGATGGCACTTACTCATTTAATGGTCCCGTTCATTTGGGATGTAATTTTGGGTGACGTAATACTTTACAATGTAAAATATTTCAAAGTGTTTAGTAATTGATGATGACATTGATTGGTGATTATAGACCAGGTGAATTTAATAATTGATGAGATGAGTATAGATGAGGCGGATTTAATAGTTTAAAATAAAAAAATTAAATAAGGTAAGAAAATAGATTTAAAAAATGAAAATAATCCCACCCTTTATTTAAAGAACATGTACTACATTTTATTTAATTATGAGTAATACCATATAAACTTAAAAATTAGACTTGATAATTCTAATTATTAAATAGATAGTGAATTTCAATAAATGTTGACACTTACAATAAAATTAATAATTATAATTATCAAATTTAATTTTTAAATTTATTTTTTAAGTTCACGGTAGCATTGTTGTTTAATTATACAACTTCTGTAGCGCCACCACCTACAACTACGCCTATAAATGGACCAAGCAGATGATGATAATTGGATACAAATAAACAATTGACACCACGAGCTAGAAAAAGAAAAAAATATAAAAATTGGTGAGTATGGTGTCGTGGTTTCAAGTGTTGCTAGCTCAACAATTCGGTACTCTTACATTGCTGGTGTTGTCCTCAACAGCAACTGGTGCTGGTGCTGGTGCTGGTGCTACAATGGCCATGGCCATGGCCAATCCCAACTGCGCCGATCGTTGTGGGGATGTACCCATCCCATACCCATTCGGCATGACTGAAGATTGTTACCTAAACAAAGACTTCCTCATCACTTGTAACTCCTCTTTCAACCCTCCCAAAGCATTTTTGGGAACTACCAACTTAAATGTTACAGAAATATCACTCCAGGGTCAGTTGAAACTCTTGCAATTTGTAGCCTCTCAGTGTTATGATCAGAAAGAGAACAAATTGTCCGACATTCGAACATGGTTTGAGCTACTTCCATTCACCATTTCTACCGAAAATAAGCTCACAGTAATCGGTTGTAACACACAGGCTTCTATTGATTTTTACCACAACAATGCTTCACAGCAGCAGCAACTGCCTTACGCCACCACAGGATGCATATCAAAATGTGAAAATATAAGCAGTTTTGCTGATGGTTCTTGTTCCGGTGTTGGTTGTTGCCAGGCCTCTATACCTAAAGGGGTGTGGAACATTAGTGTGACGCTACAAAGCTATGACAATTACACGAAGTCATCTAATTCAAATTCCTGCAGCTATGCCTTTGTCACCAGTCAAGATGAGTTCAAATTCACGCCCAAGTACCTCCGGCAACTACAGAACACAGATGAGTTTCCACTGGTGGCCGAGTGGACTGTTGGAAATGAAACTTGCGATGTGGCTCAAAAAAACTTGCCTACTTATGCATGCAAGCAAAATACCAAGTGTTATGAACCGGACATTGGTTCTGGTGGAGGTGGAGGCCTTTCTGGGTATCGCTGCAATTGCTCCGAGGAGTACCAAGGTAACCCATACCTCACCAATGGTTGCCAAGGTATAAGCACCGATACCCATCTTTTGTTTGCTGTTCTTCATTGCATGGCTATGAAATAAGGAACTAAGGATACTCCACTTAAGTCGACCTATTCATATTGAATATCGGATCAAATTTAATACTTGTTGAATATTATATTCGTCCAATTTAATATTAACCTATTGTCTAATTGTAAGATGTTAATTAACCATTCAATGATTTCTAAGTGTTATTATCAATGTTATTTATATAAAAATATATATAATATTATTTTAATTAGTCATATCCTTATCATACTCATATCTTATAATTTAGAATTTTACCTTATTACGGTATTTGTATCCGTATCGATGATTCTAAACTGCATAATTATTTAGCTGACAGCTGTGGTAATGGGTGCCTTTTTCTTTCAATTATCTTGCAGATATTGATGAATGTCAGCATCCAAGGTTCAATAATTGCAAATTCCACAAGGGTTGTCGTAATACCATGGGAAACTATACGTGCAACTGCCCCAAGGGGTACCATGGGGATGGAAGAAGAGACGGAGAAGGTTGCGTTGCCGATCAGTCAGTCGGGATTAAGGTTGCTTTGGGTGAGGCTTATTTTGTCATTTACTTGTTTATTTATTTTTTGTTTTGGGTCTGATACTTTAGGCGAGTTAAGTTGCAGTATTTTTCATATTATGTCAGTTAGGGTTATCAATTTTATCTAATAATACGAACCCAATACAATATAAATCAAAAATAGTAAAACGACTAATATGACTAATAAATGAATCAGATTTAAATTGGATTTGAATTACACAATTATTAGTATTGTAAGTGAAAAATAGATATATTATAATTTTTTTTTAAACAAAATTCATTGTATCATATGAATTGTTTCAAAATTAAATAATTTTCTCATTGACACGAAAATGACATGAGTTGTCATTGAACGGACACCCTACTCTTAGCTAGTAAGGCAACCAACGACAGAGCCAGCCATCTTTCCTAATGGGGACAACAGTTAAAATTCTAAATGCTAACAAAAATATAGTTTCATTAATAGAACATCAATTAAAAGTGCAACTCATATATATATATATATATGAGCGATATATAAAAGGAGCCAACAAAAAAAAACGCATTATAAATTTATTTACAAGACCTAACAAAAAAACTCTGAACCAAAAAATTACGCTCAATCATATATTGAGTCTATATATGGAAAAATCAAAATTATCGAGCATCCTATAAATATTTACAGTTGTTCCTAACGAGTTTTCATATTTTAAAAATGTTATATGATAATTTCATTATCAATTACACTTACAATTTATTTCACGACATATGTAACCAAGCAATCGTTCGTCCATTGATCTCTTATTCGATTGTATAATCAATTTTTTAAAAATTAATTTGTTCAGTTACAAACTTAGTATTCATGAGTGAATTTTAGTAAACAATAGAAATTAACTTAAACTATAACTATTCTATTAAACTAAACCTAGATATAAGAATTACTTAACCTATCACAATAACACTATTCAAGCCACCAAATCAAAATAATTTAATTTAACTTATAATGGAGGACTACAAACCCCAATTCTAATTTAACATATAAAAATAAAACACAAGAGATGACCGTAAGCCCCAATTCCAATTTAACATAAAAATAAAATACAAAAAAAGACTACAAGCTCTAATTTCAATTAAATATAAATATATATATAACCATAGCTTCAATATAATTTCAACATAGAAAAATAAATATACGACTACAAGTCCCAATTTTAATTCAATACATAAAATTATAAAACACAGAGAGAACTATTAGCCTCATAAATTTGTTATAACTTTTTAGTAAGGGTAAATGTCTGATAAAATTCTAATTTTTTTTTAAATTATACTTACTCCCTAAATTTTTTTAAAATTATAGTAGGAGCAACAGCCCCCTCTATGGATCCGTCACTGAAGGCAACTACTTTGTTGTATGAGCACAGCATTTTACCACCTACTAACAAAGAGGGTATAGATATTTGCTTGTGTCCTAAAGAGTCGCAAATTTTTCAGTCCCGATAATAAATCACATGCTAGTGACAGCGAATAAAATATTGTACATCTCAATAAAAGTTTGTCACTTATCACTTTACCAGAATTTTTTTTTATTTGAAAAAATTAACTTGTGTGTCCCACCAACTAGTGTTGTCACAATTTTTCATTAAGTATGCACAACACTTGACACTAGCATGTGGGATTGAGAAATATAGAGTCAGATTCTCATTCTATTTTATTGCAGTTGGGATTGAGAAATATAGAGTTAAAGAAAGTAGACTTTGATATGAAATGATTTTAAACTCATTTACCACTATTTATCAGAGCAAAAACTTAACACTTTTTTTTTTTTTTTTTTTTGCTATTGTTCTTCAAATGCATTTACAGGTATTTTGGTAGGCTTTGTGTTGTTGCTCATCAGTAGCTCTTGGTTGTACTTTGGGATGAAGAAAAGAAAGTTAATCAAGCTCAAAGAGAAATTCTTTAGACAAAATAGTGGTTGCAGCAACGACTCTGTGGACAAGAACGAACAATAGATGCGATAAAAATTTTCACAATTGAAGAGCTTGAGAAGGCAACTAACAACTATGATGAAAAAAAAATCATCGGCCGAGGCGGTTTTGGGACAGTTTGTCAGGGACACTTAATGGACAAAAGGGTAGTGGCTATCAAAAAGTCTAAAGTCATGGATCAAAGCCAAATTGAGCTGTTCGTCAATGAAGTGATTGTTCTCTCCAAAATCAACCACAGGAATGTGGTCAGACTCTTGGGTTGTTGTTTGGAGACACAAGTCCCATTACTAGTTTATGAATTTATCATCCACAGGGATATCAAATCTACCAACATACTCTTAGACGATAATTACGTTGCAAAAGTATCAGACTTTGGTGCTTCGAAGTTGGTTCCATTGGATCAACATCATTTATCAACTATAGTTCAAGGAACTCTGGGATATTTGGACCCTGAGTATATGCAAACTAGTCAGTTGACTGAGAAAAGTGATGTTTACAGCTTTGGCGTAGTACTTGTAGAACTACTGACAGGAAGGAAAGCATTGTGTTTTGATACACCAGAGGAAGAGAGAATTCTAGCTTTGCACTTTATTTCTTCATTGAAGGAGGATCGATTGTTTCAAGTTCTTGAGGATCATTTAGTACGCGAAGGAAATACTGAACAATTCAAAGAAGTTGCTAAACTAGCAAACAGGTGCTTAAATGTAAAAGGGGAGGAAAGGCCTACTATAAAGGAAGTAGCAATGGAGCTAGAGGAACTGAGACTGGCGACAAGGCTTCCATGTGTTAAAGCGGAACTGATTTCAGAGGAGTCGGAGTCCTTCCCTGGTGAGGGATCAAATGTCAGTGATTACCATAGTGGTACTTGGCATGACAGCACGAAGGGACACATAATCTTGCCAATTGATGATGAGAGATGATTGTTTGATGCACAAGAATGATGTTTAGTATTTGCACTCCAGTTGTAGAATTGTCATGCAAATAATTCATGAGTTTTATAAGTTTGACTTATGTAGCCAATAAGTATCTACATTTGTATTGTATAATAATAGAATGTAAAATATATATATATTTTTTTTGTGTTCTAAATTAGCAATTAGGAATCATCAGTTTAATGTGTTTTCTTGTATGATTTAATGGGAATGTGTTGCTAGTGATAGTGAAGAGTATGAGTGAACTAGCTACAAGAATGAGTTCGCATCACGAAGTAACTATACCAATTGATGATAATATATGTGTTTGGATTTTGCTATTATTAGTATTTGTCGAATTTTGTTCTCTCTCACAAAATCCATTGTGCTTCAAACTAAATTGAAACCTTTTATTATAATGCAAGAGACTTTATATGTGAGGCGTTTTATATATGTTAACAAACCTTATAATATCTATCATGTTTAAGATACACATTGCTGATGCAGACAATTAGTAAGATGGATTAATAGTCATAAACTGCATTAGTGGTAGGCGTGAATCCTTTATTTGGTCTGTCAGAAAGTATCCATTCTAGCAAGCAAAGAGTCTTCTCTGAAATTATAAATATGCTCTTTTGTCCGGTTGGCAGTTGCTGGGCATTTCCAAGTTGAATGAATATTGATCACCTGAAAACAAAGTCAAAAGTCAGAGAATCTCTGATGGCCAACCCTATTATCCCTTTATGTTCTTTCATTAGTTAGGACTTGATAGAGATGGAATTCAAATATCTTTCTATTTTTTGATTTGTAAGATTTGACCTTAGCTCTTATATGAAATACTGAGATCTTTTTTTGTCCAAATTTGGATGTCTTTTAGCAGGTAGGATTGAACTTCAGTGCCAAATTGAGCTTAATCGAGTTGAACTGAGTTGGGTGTTTCTAGTTGAGCTATTGATGTAGGCTGAGTTGTTGAGACAAAATGGATGAACACTGTCGAGCAGAGTTGGTTGACCCAAGTTGAGCAAAATAAGCTTAGCCAAGATGGATGAGTAGAGCTAGGTGGAATTTTTCTCCATTAGTTGCCCCTCAGTCCGGTTCTTCTACATTTGATATGACTTTGAGTCTGCTCATGCCAAAGATAGATAGTTGGTGGACCTGCGTTAGGACATCCCTACATCCATGGCCTTAGCTCTACAGTAAAATCATACCCACATTTAAGGGCCTCTTGACACGCAGGTGTGGGTTTTTTTTTTTTTGGGTGGTGGGTTCTTGTTGAATGACCAATGGATTTATTGATCAAAAGGTAAGTTTATCCCCAAATAAATGTCATATCTATCTAATAAGAAGGGCATTCAAATCTTAAGCCACTGAAATATTTACCTTTTAAGGGGCCTCACATGAATTCTAGCTTAAGCATCCAAACATAGGATGGGATCTAAGTCACATAATTTGTGCAAAATACCTTGCATTCTATCGCTCTGTCCGCAAAATCATGTTTAGGGAGTGAATTCATCGTGAATTCGTGCTCTCAATTTTTGAATTCCCAAATTCAATGTTATATAATTCATGAATTCGATAAAACAAATTCATTAATTCGGTACATCAAATCCATGAATTT